GTTTGCACGCTTTGACGTTTTTACATTTTATACATTAATATTTTCTACTGAAGAAGTTCTAGTTCTTTATTTGAAATGAATATAACTTCTTCCCAATTTTAACCCGAAAGTCTTGAATTTTATCAATGACATGCATTGTATAACTTCTCTTTCCCTCACTGTTACACTGTAGTATATCATTTTTGATTTAAGAATTCTGTCATTGATTACAATGGAACTTAAAAATATAGATAAATATATTACTTGCGAATCATCTTTCAGGAATAGTGCCGTCCACAAAATCACTAATCACCAAGCCCTCTCCACTACGAAGAAGAGTAAACGCTTGGAACATCGCTCCCTCTCTGACCCCTGAGCTGAAAAACGTTTACACCCAATACAAAGACAGAGAATTCGTACCCACAGAAAACTCCAGAGATGTCAAAACATCCCCTACTGATGAGTATGAAGATGATTTCGAGGCCATTTCATCCGAGGTTTGGTTTTCTTGTTGTTTCTTTTTTTTTAGCTCAAAGCTACATAATGGGCCATCTTTGATGTGTCCTTCACCGCGGGTACTCGAACCCTGAATGCTAGTGGTTCAAGCCTCCTAACTTGACGCTGAGTCACCGAGGCACATATATAAATCACACGTCATTAAGGCAGAAGTCCTACAAGCAGCGATAAAAAGTGAAATGAAACTCGAATTAAAGGGCATTTCGTTAAATTGTAAACATCCTGGTGTTAATATCGTCGTGTTCTTGTCAGGTAACTTTTAAACAAATGATAAAGTCTAAAGTTTTTTATAGGCAGATAAAAACACAATTTAGAGCTATTTATTCAAACGAAATGCCCTTTAATGCGAGTTTCATTTCCACATCATGATGTTTAAAATTTAACGAAATGCTCTGTAATTTGAGTTTCATTTCCACATCAGGATGTATGCAATTTAACGAAATGCCCTTTGATTTGAGTTTCATTTCCAAATCATAATGTTTACAATTTAGCGAAATTCCCTGTAATTTGAGTTTCATTTCCACATCAGGATGTTTACAATTTAACGAAATGCCCTTTGATTTGAGTTTCATTTCCAAATCATAATGTTTACAATTTAACGAAATTCCCTGTAATTTGAGTTTGATTTCCACAACTTTAACTATTCTCTCTTTTATCCTCTTTATTTCCTTTGACCGACTTCAAAGGCCACACCTCAGAAAATCTGTAAAAACGCTTAGACGCTCTTTGTTCAAATTAAAAATATATATTTTCACTATAAATACATATTTTCAAAAATATACACAACTAAAATAAAACACTTAATAACATTCTTATATAGATTCAAATATACAAGTTAATTTAAACTTTTATAAAACACTTTGTCTTTTTTATTCCATCATTTTTTACTTAGATTCAAACTTTACCTCAATTACAATGTCTCCTAATACTATAAAAACAGCGTTCATTTACATAATCTTTCAAGTTTAATTAAAACACCTTTTACTCATTTTTTTACTGTTTTTGTTATTCCTAGTAATCCTTATACAATTCAATCTGTCATTACTCAACTGTTGTTACTATTGCTTTCTTACCTCTACCTATATAAAGTGGCACCAAAAAAACTTATGCAAATGTTTTCCAAAAATCAAAAGTGAACACCATTTGAACAGGAAGGTGAGTAATGATAATTTCAGTTGATATCTTAATGAACATAATTAAGAACTAAAAGTTATTCATCATTATGATTTTTAAACGCAGTTGTTTATAGCTATAAAGCATATGTTTTCTGGACTTAGACAAACTCTGAAAATGTTTACAATAATATTTTCAAATAATTAAACATATATCATAATAGTTGCCACTCTGTACGCTAGACAGAAGCAGATTGAGACCACAACCACATAATGTGTACTGTGGAGAACTTTCATACAGGATAACCAGTTTATTTTATTTGTTTGCAGTTAAATAGAAATCTTCACGACGGGCAGTCTGTGCTGTGCTCACCGCAAAGGTCGAACCCCGAATCTTAACATTACAAGCCCACAAGTTTTACAGCTGAGCTACTGAGAGCCAGAAGTAAATAGCAAAAGAAAGGCTTTGAGAATAGATTTGCTATTCTTTTTTTAATCACCTGCTTCATGTAAAAGAACTACGTCATCACTAGTGTGGTATATTTGAAACTTCTCACACCTCTCAAACTATTATAAAATTTTACCTCAGTTTCACAACTGTTACTCGTATCTATTCTGATTTTTATCAGTAAGACGCGAGTTAAGCACGAAGACTTATTTATACACATTAACATGTTATTCTTTTTTAAATAGTATGTACCCTAACAGAAATTAATTTCTTGTCCTTTGCTTGCTTCGAACAGAGTGAAAACAACGATCACCTAATTATACCTACAGCAAGTGTCACACGAAACAAACAGTTTAAACGACAACAGCAAGTTTTTAAAGAAAAACGTCGAGTAAAGGAAAGGGATCGACAGATGCAGAAACAACACTTGGAGAAAAAACAAGAAGATGAAAGGGAGAGACATCGTCAAAAGAGAGAGTCTTCAAAGAAGAGAGAACAAGATGAAGATACTTCTATTCTTAGAAGAACTCGTATCGAATTAGATAATGAAAACAAAAGTTATTCAAATACAGATAATTTCTTATTACTTGAAGGTAAGTTGAATTTTGTTTCCAGAGGGAAGTATTCGATGTACAGGGAAAAATAGTCCCTTCCAAAATTGTTTACGTTGCTTGTCACTTACGTAATTTTCACGTGTTTCACATACTTCATTATTAAAATCCAATGCGTCATTCTTTTTTAAACATACTAAGAACTTTAAGTTTAATGTAAGTTTAGAATTCTGTGGTATATATATGTTTCTTTATATGCTGGGTGTCATATCTCACAAACGGTATGGAATAAGCATACGTTATAAAAATGACAGTCAAATCCCATTATTCGATCATAGTAGCTCACGAATTGTTGGTGGGTGGTGTTCATAAATTACTTTCAATTTAATCTATCAGTTCAAAATTAGGGGTGACTACCACAAGTATCCCTCGAATATCTTTGTGCGAAATTCAAAAGTGAACGTCCTTTATTTTGGCCCAGCTCGACTCGCAATCTGTGGGTCGCGGGTTCGAATC